AAAGCAAGCATGGCTATGCATTTCGGGCAGACTTAGTTTAATTCTTTATTTTAAAATATTACAAATTATGAGGTAAGTTGGTATTATGGCTAAGTGACTAAATACTAGTTTGTGAGTTTAGCAATGTGAATGCTTTTGTTTTGGCACAGTACATAGTTTCAGTATGGAGTATCTAGGATTAATTATTTTAAAAATAGAGATTAATATTTCTTGTTTTATGGTCAAAATGGTTGTGGAGTGAGATGTAAGTGTGAAACCACCAGGTTGGTATCGTGTAGTTAGTTGATGGGGGCTTTTGTATCAGGGAAGGGATAAGCGATGTTTTCTAATGGTGAGTTTTGAAGGTGATGAATGTTGTCTGCAGTTCTAGAGGTTCTCATGTAGGGTTGTTTCCAGATTTTAGATTTAAGATTTTGATTTTGCCCCACCGAAGTGGCCTTAGTTTATTGTGCACCCATTATCCATCTGTGGGACGGTTTTTTTTTTTTTTAGCGCGAGGAGCATGGGATACACAAAAAGGCCTAGGAACTAGGCCCCATAGGGGGGTTAACAGGAAATACATATGGGTTATATCTACATATCTTAGTTCAACTTTATCTGTTACATGCAAATTTAGAAATTGCTTAGTATATCTGGTATCTTATTTTCATTATAAAGATTCTTGGACCATGTCACATAGGTTATTATACTGTTCTGTCTCTGTATTCCTCAATTAAGGGTGGACAATTTAAGCACATAGTTGTTCAAGAGCGTGATCATATGCCCTTGATCACATATTTACATTTAGTTTGATCATCATCTGTGTCTCCCAAACTGCAAGGACAAGTACTTGTAACCAAGCCTAAGCCTGGCACCACTATAACATCAGTTTTCAGTCTGTTCAATTGCAACGTTGCTCCATAAACATACTTATTACGTTCATGTTTATTCATAGTGGGTTTATAGATCTTACTCAGCCTTCTAAACTGCATTCCTATAAACCCCCCCTCCCCCCCCCCCCCCCCCAATCATTCTTCTTTATTTACTTCTCTCCTAATATTATTCTAATGCTAGACACAGTTATACCAAAGTTATATTTCACGTTCTCCTTTCTGGATACTCTTCTTGGCTTAACATATCAACTTTATTCATGAAGGAGTAATTCCAAATGTGTGATGTGGATCCATTAGCAATTGTACATTTAATTCCTTTGTCCTAATTTTGGTAATCTTCACCTGGCTTCCCCAATCGAGCAATGTTGTTTTTTCCAATTCATTCAATGTTTATTCTCTATAATGGGGGGATTTAACAATGCTGGAGTTTACAGAAAATTTGGGTTTAATTGTTTTGGTTTTACATGTAGTAAAAAATTTGTGATTACAGAGGTGTACCACTAGAAAACGCTTTTAGAATGGCTAGGCATTTCGGGCATACTTAGTTTTATTTTCTTAATTGTAAAAATATTACAAATTATTGGACGGTAACGTTTGGTATTATGGCTAAGTGACTAAATACTAGTTTGTGAGTTAGCAATGTAAATGCTTTGTGTTTTGGCACAGTACATATAGGTTTCAGTATTGGATTATCACAGGATTCATTATTTTAAGCTGAGATTAATATTTCTTTTTTATGGTCAAATGGATGTGAGTGAGTGTTAAGTGTGAACCACCGGGTGGTTTATTCGTGTTAGTATTAGTTGAGGGGTGTTTGTTATCAGGGAGATAAGATGTTTTCTATGGTAGTTTTGGTCGAAAGGTGATTGAATGTGTCTGCGTTTCTAGGAGTTCCTCAGGTGGGGTTTTTATTCCAGATTTTAGGGCCTTTGACATAATGAATTTTTTGTAAAAGGTTTTTAGTCGGGACACGGGGAATGGGTCGTTAGGGATGTTTTGTGTCTGGTGTTATGCCTGTGGTTCTGTTCAACAACTATCAAGGAAAAGCGTTTTTAGGTCAAGGGTTGTTGATATTAGAGTTAAGGCCCTGTTAGATGTGGGATTGCACAGTAGTAAGTGTGGATGTACTTGAACTGGGAGTAATTTTAGATCTATGAAGAGTGGGGGGGGGGTGTTCCCAGGGATGGATTTAGTGATTATTCTTACTGCAGCTTTTTGTTGGGTTATTATTGGCTTTTTGGTGTGTTGCTGCAATTGATCCCCAAGCACAAATACCATAGGTGAGGTATGGATAAATAAGTGAGTGGTTTTAGTGTGAGAAGGGCATTTGCGGCACGTAGTTCGTGTCTTGGAGAGGATCCCAACCGTTTTGGATTTCTTTTTTGGCTAATGCTGGATATGGGTGCTGAAATTTAGGTTGTTGTCAAGGTATAACCCAGGAATTTCCCCCATTATTTCTGGTAATTAGAGTGTTGTAAATCTAAATGTTAATTTGTGCATCTCCTGCTCTGCTACCAAACATAATATAGTAGGTTTTGTCAGTGTTAAGCATAAGTTTATTGGCTGTCATCCAAGTCGATATTTTATTCAGCTCCTCATTCACAATGGTGTTGAGGGTGGCAAGATTAGGGGGAGAGATGACATAAGTCGTGTCATCAGCAAAGAGAATGGTTCAGGTGTTGGGATAACGTTTGAAGGTCATTGATGTATATGAGGAAGAGCAGGGGACCAAGGACACTTCCCTGCGGAACTCCAGTATCAAGTGGCCGTGTTGCTGATGCTGTGTCTTTAATGGTGACGTACTGATACCTATTAGTTTTGTAAGATTTGAAATAAGCAAGCGCATGGCCTCTTATACCGTAGTGATCAAGTTTGTGGAGTAGGATGTCGTGGTCTACTGTGTCAAAAGCTTTTCTTAGGTCAATAAAAATTCCTAGTGGATATTCCTTATTTTCCAATGCTGTGTAAAGCAGATCTAGCATTTTTATGATTGCATCATTAGTGCTTTTATTTTTCCTGAATCCAAACTGGCAGGGGTTGAGTATGTTTTGAGCCGTTATAAATGAATACAGTCTCCTGTGCACGAGTTTCTCAAAGATTTTGGATAGCAATGGTAAGTTAGATATTGGCCTATAGTTGTTTAAGTCTGTAGGGTCACCACCTTTATGTATTGGTGTAACCCTTGCCATCTTGAGTAGTTTCGGGAAGGTGCTAGTCTCTATTGACTTGTTAAAAAGTAATGAAATAGCATGCGAAAGGACTTGGGCCGCTCGCTTGTACAATAATGGTGGGACATGAGACAGATTCCCCGAGTTATTTTTAAGTGACTTTATGATCTCAATGACTTCCGTGGGCTCAGTTGGTGCAAGATAGAAGGAATTAGGGAAATTTCCATCTAGGTAGTCCCCGGCATGGGCATTGATATGTGGGATTTTGCTGGCGAGATTAGATCCTATGTTTGAGAAGAAGTCGTTTATCTTGTTAGCTGTGTCAATGGGATGTAGTGGTGTTTCATTAGGTTTAGTTAGGACAATATTCTTGGTTTTTCTCAGTTTGTGGGTCCCTAGAATCTGAGAGAGTGTTTTCCAGGTCTTTTTTATATCTCCTCTAGTGTCTGTGAATCTACTGGAGTAGTATAGTTGTTTGGCTTTTTTTATCACTTTGGTGAGAGCTGATGAATAGTGTTTAAGAATATCTTTGTGTATTAAGCCCTGTCTATATTGCTTTTCATATTGGTGTTTCAGCGAATTTACTACTACTGCTACTACTACTGTGTCTACCAATAGACCCCTGGCAGTCTTCACGTAGGCGCTGGACAGGCACCTAAAGTCAGTACCTGACCAGCCAGGTTGTGGTTCGTACGTCAGTTTGCGTGCTGCCAGCAGTAACAGTCTGATTGAGCAGTCCCTGATCTACCATGAGGCCTTGTCTCAGACCGAGCCGCGGGGGCGTTGACCCCCGAAACCCTCTCCAGGTAGTAACGTGTAAATTACCTAGGATAACCCAAAAAAGTCAGACGAAGTGACTTCAATCCCAGGCCGGGTAAAAACGTTGGGTATATTTGCTTACACCTGCTCTCGTGTTCACCCATCAGTTAAATAGGTACCTGGGTGTTAGTCGACTGGTGTGGGTCACGGCCTACTACTGTGCAACCTACATTTACAGAACCATATATTGTAATATTAATCCCGAAATAAAACACTTTCTTTATAGTTGCAACAGAAACTATAGACATAATACGAGACAAAAAAAAAAATCTCTATGACATTCCTGGTGTCCGGCTAAATCTCTTCAAAAATTCAATATACATAAAAGGGCCCAAAATCTGGGACTCTCTGCCCGAAATCTCCAGAACCGCTGACTCAACCAGCATTTTCAAAACTACCCTTAAAAAACACCTTACCTCCTTAACTCATCCCAACATCAACTGTGTGAAAACCACCCATGATATTGTCAGTATGATGATCACATTCAGAACATAGTAGACGTACTCTCATTATCTGTAATTCTGGCAGTTTTATATTAACACTCACCCAAATGACTAAACAAAATTCCTGTTATAGTTATTGCCTAATTAATTTTAAGTTTGTTCTAAGTTTGCCTGAAATACTCTGCCAATATACAAGTTTATATAGTAACAGTGTATCATACTGAGGTAACTCCGTTACCATTATTAAATTATGCTAATTAATTGTGATAGTGTTATATATTGCTTATTGCCTCACTGTTATCAGTCTTATTAATGGTAAACTTTTAATTACCTAACTTTTATATTATTGTAAAATAATGAACATTAAAATGTACTGCTCCATAACCTGTGTTAATATAGTAAGAATTAATATCAGGCTGCCGGAAATACATGTTAGTGGCTTCCTTTGTAATTAATATTTTCTAATATGTAAACCACACATTTTAAAGTTTACACGAAAAAAAAAATTTCATTTTCATGTTTTTTAGGGGTTTAGCGCTTCTTTCTGATTATAATAATAATCATTTTCATTTTAATTTTCAAGATTGAAGGACTCCACTGGAAATAAGACAGTCCACAATGATGTACTGACTTTCTTGGGTTATCCTGAGTGGCTAACCCTCCAGAGTTAAATTCCAACAAATCTTATCTTAATCTTGGTTCCAGTGTGGTCCTTGATGGTGAGTGTGACCACTGAGCAACGGGTACCTGCACACTGCAGTGACTGACACTGCTCACGGGTTGCACTGCACACTGCAGTGACTGACACTGTTCACAGGTTGCACTGCACACTGCAGTGACTGACACTGCTCACAGGTTGCACTGCACACTGCAGTGACTGACACTGCTCACAGGTTGCACTGCACACTGCAGTGACTGACACTGCTCACGGGTTGCGCTGCACACTGCAGTGACTGACACTGCTCACAGGTTGCGCTGCACACTGCAGTGACTGACACTGTTCACAGGTTGCACTGCACACTGCAGTGACTGACACTGCTCACAGGTTGCACTGCACACTGCAGTGACTGACACTGCTCACAGGTTGCACTGCACACTGCAGTGACTGACACTGCTCACAGGTTGCACTGCACACTCGTCCCTATGACTCCTTCACATATATGGACGGTGTCTGGGACATTGACGGTAACTGTTACATCATACAGGTTAAGGTAGGTTGAGCTGGTACATGTCTCTACCTCAGTATTAACATGCTTCATCAACCAAGGGTCAACCTTCTTACTTTCGTCAATATCTTGGAGCTTAACTCACTTGTTCAAGTTCTCAGTTATATCATATAATCAGTCATTGCTCATATAAGCTGAATATTTACAGTAATTTTGCTATGTAATCATCACTTGTCATTTTCTAGACAAAACATGAAAATATAAAATTAATGTAGGTAAACACCGCTCTTGACCGACCTTGTTATGGTAGTTTTTTTTTTTTTTTTTTTTTTTTCACTACTACAGTCCTTTCATAAAAAAACTGCTACTCATATTATCTTATCCATATTGAGCACTTGTATCTGAAGTCTACACTAGATATAAATTGAAGATCTTAATGGTAAGTGCTGTATCCTTGTCATGTCAATGTGGTTATATTTTCTTCATTTTTTTATGGACTGTTACAGTAAGGAGTTAATAAGATATTCATTTGTCACTCATTAGGTAATTTTGACTATTCATTTTATATGAAGATAGGCCACGAATTGTTGTGGACCCATAGGTTTAATGTTTGGTTTGGTTTAAATTATCATTACCTAATTCTTAGATTAAATAAATAATATTGGCATAGATCAATGGCATGATTTAGCCTTGTGGCTGCTAAACTATCATTATGAACAACCTACCTCTAACACCACCAATGGAAGAATATGTTGTGCCATCATTTATGTAACTATGTATATAAACCATCAGTTATGTGTGAGAAGTCTCATTACTTCTCAATAACGATAATAATTCATAATCTTTATTTCTAAAAATTACATAATTCTGTACAACAGAAGTTAATGCTAAGATGGGTTAGAGAGGTTTGATTCTTGGTCTGTAATCATCATGTGATAGCAGGGGGCCCTGAGTGCAAGTAAGTCATAGTGTTTGATCTTACTTGTTTATCCTAAGTTAAGCTTATGTAATATAATTTTCATGTATCTATAACGTGTGCCATCAAGACAATTGTAAAGAAAATGTATATTGTGTACACAAAGCCCAAATAAAAACATGATACTGGATGTTAAGTCAACCAGTGTGGGTTGCATCCTGGGACAAAATTGACCTAATTTGCCTGAAATGCTCTGCATAACAGTAAGTAAGTAAGTAAGTAAGTAAATTTATTCAGGTATACAAGCTGCTTTCTTTATAGTAATATGTCATTGATGTCAGCTAGGCCTGTATACCATATATATGTACAAATACAAATATACATATGTCATGCCAAATAAGTAAAACTTGGGATTTTCGCATAAATAGCACTCACTTCTTGCCAAATAGGGCAAGGGAAAATTTGTGTATACTATAATTTCGCAAAAATCATTATGCATCTGACAAAAAAACAAAAATATTTCACTGTGTTTGTTTACTATTAAATTATTGTAAACTTATATAAAATAAATTTAGTTGGATTAGCTTAAATTAAATTGTGCTTGTTATAATAAGGTTAGGTAAGCTTCCTTATGGTTCTTTTCATGCAAAATCATTAATTTTTATATTAACATAAATGAAAAAATATATCTTTAAATGTATAAGAGAAAATTTTAGAAAGGACTTAATTTTAAATGAGTTCTTGCTAATTGACCAGTTTTACTTATTCGGCACAAATATATATATATATATACATGTATATATATATATATTATATATATTATATATATATATATTTTATATATATATATATATATATATATATTGTACACACACCACACATATATATATATATATATATATATATATATATATTATACAGTGGACCCCCGCATAACGATGGCATCGCATAGCGATTTTTTCCGCATAACGATTACTTTTATCGCAAAATTTTTGCCGCGCATACCGATTAAAAACCCGCATCCCGATTTTCGTCCGAGACGCGTCCAATGTGCCCTCAGCCAGCCTCACATGTGCCGCTCCGTCCCATTGTTTACCAGCCAGCCTCCGCGGTAACATCCAAGTTTACACTCGGATTATTTCGTATTATTACAGTATTTTCGGTGCTGTTTCTGGAAATAAGTGACCATGGGCCCAAGAAAGCTTCTAGTGCCAACCTACACCTCAAAGGGTAAGAATTACTATAGAGATGAAAGAAAGAGATAATTGATAAGTATGAAAGTGGAGTGCGTATAGGCCGACCTAGTCAAGCTGTACAAGAAACCCCAATCAACCATCGCTACTATTGTGGGCACCAGAAAGACAATCAAGGAAGCTGTTCTTGCCAAAGGTTCAACTGTGTTTTCGAAAAAAAAGATCGCAATTGATGGAAGATGTTGAGAGACTTTATTGGTGTGGATAAATGAAAAACAGATAGCAGGAGGATAGCGTCTCTCAAGCGATCATATGTGAAAAGGCTAGGAAGTTGCATGAGGATTTAATTAAAAAAATGCCTGCAACTAGTGATGATGTGAGTGAATTTAAGGCCCGCAAAGGTTGGTTTGAGAGATTTAAGAAGCGTAGTGGCATCCATAGTGTGATAAGGCATGGTGAGGCTGCCAGTTCGGACCACAAAGCGGCTGAAAAATATGTGCAGGAATTCAAGGAGTACATAGAAACTGAAGGACTGAAACCTGAACAAGTGTTTAATTGTGATGAAACAGGCCTGTTCTGGAAGAAAATGCCAAGCAGGACCTACATTACTCAGGAGGAAAAGGCACTCCCAGGACATAAGCCTATGAAGACAGGCTTACTTTGTTGATGTGTGCCAATGCTACTGGTGATTGCAAAGTGAAGCCTTTATTAGTGTATCACTCTGAAACTCCCAGAGCGTTCAGGCAAAAGAATGTCCTCAAGGATAATTTGTGTGTGCTGTGGAGGGCAAACAGTAAGGCATGGGTCACTAGGGAATTTTTCTATAACTGGTTACACCATGCATTTGCCCCCAATGTGAAAAATTACCTAACTGAAAAGAAATTAGAACTTAAGTGCCTCCTGGTGTTAGAAAATGCCCCTGGTCATCCTACAGACGTGGCAGAGCGACTTTATGGGGACATGAGCTTCATTAAGGTGAAGTTTTTGCCTCCTAATACCACTCTCTCCTGCAGCCATGGACCAGCAGGTTATTTCCAACTTCAAGAAACTGTACACAAAAGCTCTGTTTGAAAGGTGCTTTGTAATGACCTCAGAAACTCAACTGACTCTAAGAGAGTTTTGGAGAGATCACTTTAATATCCTCAATTGTGTAAACCTTATAGGTAAGGCTTGGGAGGAAGTGACAAAGAGGACCTTGAACTCTGCTTGGAAGAAACTGTGGCCAGAATGTGTAGACAAAAGGGATTTTGAAGGGTTTGAGGCTAACCCTGAGAATCCTGTGCCAGTTGAGGAATCCATTGTGGCATTGGGAAAGTCCTTGGGGTTGGAGGTTAGTGGGGAGGATGTGGAAGAGTTGGTGGAGGAGGACAATGAAGAACTAACCACTGATGAGCTGCTAGATCAACTTCAACAGCAAGAGGCCACACCTGAGGAAATTGCTTCGGAGGAGGGGAGAGAGAAATTGAAGAAGTTGCCTACTTCAAAGATTAAGGAAATCTGTGCAAAGTGGCTTGAAGTGCAAACCTTCATGGATGAAAACCCCCCTCACACAGCTATTGCAAGCCGTGCTGGTGATTATTACACTGACAATGTTGTGAAACACTTTAGGCAAGTCATAAGGAACGAGAGGTAACAGGCCACTATGGACAGATATCTTGTGCGAAAGAAGTCCAGTGACTCTGAAGCTGGCCCTAGTGGCATTAAAAGAAGAAGGGAAGTAACCCCCGAAAAGGACTTACTACCTCAAGTCCTAATGGAAGGGGATTCCCCTTCTAAACACTAACACACTCTCTCCCTCCTCCCCTCCCATCAATCATCACCAGATCTTCAATAAAAGTAAGTGTCATTTAATTGTGCATGCCTTTTTCAGTTTGTGTGTATTAAAATTAACATTTCATGTGGTAAAAAAAATTTTTTTTCATACTTTTGGGCGTCTTGCACGGATTAATTTTTATTTCCATTATTTCTTATGGGGAAAATTCATTCGCATAAACGATTATTTCGCATAACGATGAGCCTCTTGCACGGATTAAAATCGTTAACCGGGGGTCCACTGTATATATATATAATATATATTTTATATATATATATATATATATATATATATATATATATATATATATTTTATATATATATATATATAATATATTATATATTTTATTATATTATATTTTATATATAATCATATATATATACATACATACATATATGGATGCTTGAATATACATGGATGTAGTGCGAATGACAAGAAAGAAATGATTGCTAATGTTATGAATGAGAAGTTGGATGTCCTAGCTCTAAGCAAAACAAAGCTGAAGGGGGTAGGTGAGTTTCAGTGGGGAGAAATATAGGATTAAGTCTGGAGTGTCTGAGAGAGTTAGAGCTAAGGAAGGGGTAGCAGTAATGTTGAAGGATGAGTTATGGAACGAGAAGAGGGAATACAAATGTATAAATTCAAAGATAATGTGGATTAAAATAAGGGGTTGGATGCAAAAAGTAGACCATAATAAGTGTGTATGCACCTGGAGAAGAAAGGAGTGTAGAAGAAAGTGAGAGAGAGAGAGAGAGAGATTTTGGGAGATGTTAAACAAGTGTGTAGGAACTTTTGAACCAAGTGAGACAGTAATTGTGGTTTGGGACCTAAATGCTAAAGTAGGAGAAACCATTAAAGAGGGTGTGGTAGGTAAGTTTAGGGTGCCAGGTGTAAATAATAATAGGGGCCCTTTGATTAAGCTTCGTATAGAAAGGGGTTTGGTTATAGGTAATACATATTTAAAGAAAGAGGATAAATAAGTATACAAGATATGGTGCAGGGCATAATGACAGTAGTTTGTTGGACTGCATATTGGTATATAAAAGACTGTTGGGTAGACTTGAAGATGTACATGTTCATAGAGGGGTCACAGATATATCGGATCACTTTTAAGTTGTAGCTA